TGGTGGCAAAGAATTGGAAATTGAGAGGATGCCCATCAATTGGGGAATGGCTGAGCAAGTTGTGGTATATGCATGTAATGGAATACTATTGTGCTATAAGAAATGATGAACAGGCTGACTTCAGAAAAACCTGGAAAGACTTGTATGGTCTGATGCTGAGTGAAGTGAGCAGAACCAGGAGAATATTGTACACAGTAACAGATACATTGTGCGATGACTAATATTGATAGACAACCCTTTTCAGCAATACAAGGATATAAGACATCTCCAAAAGCCTCATGATGGAAAATGCTATCTACATCCAAAGAAAAACTATGGAGTTGGAATGCAGATCGAAGCATACTATTTGCTATTTTTTTTTCTTCTGTTGTGTTTTGTTTCCTCTTCCTGGTAGTTCCTCCTATTGGTTCTAATTCTTCCTTACAATATCATTTATGTGAAAATATGTTTAATAGGAATGTATACGTGTGGCCTATATCAGACTGCGCACCATCTTGGGGAGGGAGGTGGGAAGGGAGGGGGAGAAAAATTTGAAACTCAAAAGCTTATGGAAGTGATTGTTGATAAATTAAAATAAATTAACTTTAAAAAAAAGAATATGGTGTCTGTCACAGTAAGCTCAAGATGGGTAGAGTAGAAAAGTTTGCATTGTTAAAAAAAAAAGAGAGAGAAGATAAGGAGATAAGAAGCCTTTACAACTGTGGCAACAGGGAGGATACTTAACCAGCCAAAAGACAGAGATCACACAAGATAAAAAAAGTACTTTGGGTTATACGAAATTGAAAAGAAAAGGCTTTTGAACAAAATATGAACAAAATTAATACACTTAGGATAAGAAGGGAAACTGCTCATTGGGGAAAAGAATCTTTGCATCAAATGTCATAGGTATCTTAGAAGCCATTGAGTCTGAGCCTCTCATTTTACAAATGAGGAAACTGAGGCACAGAAACTGAGGCTAGTATCTGAGGTGACATTTGAACTCAAGTCTTCCTTTCTCCAGGCCTAACCCTTTATGCCACACTCCAAGATATATAGGAAAGTAACAGATTTGAGTATATAAGATTGAGTATATAAGTATATAAGATTGAGTCATTCTTCAAAGAATAGTCAAAGGATATGACTCACAAATTGTTCATAGCTTATAAAAGTTGGCTCCAAATCATTAATAAGAAAAATGAAGATCCAAATTACTCTGAGGTTTCGTCTCACACCTAGCAAATTCACAAACATAAAAAAAGATGTAAATAATCAATGCTGGAGGGGCTGAGGAAAGATAGGCAGACTCATATTCCCAGGGTGGAGCTGTGAATTCTTCTGGAAAACACCTTGGAACTATGATAAGAAAGTGACTAAAATGTCATGTCCTTTGACCCAGGCATCCCATGCCTCGCGGAAAAAGTCAAAGACAGAAAGAATGGTCCCATACAGGTAGGACTAGCTAGGCGGCTAGCTAGTCCTGGAGTGAGCAAGACCTGAGTTCAGATCTGGCCTCAGACACTTCCTAGCTGTGTGACCCTGGCCAAGTTACTTAACCCTGTTTGCCTCATTTCCTCATCCAAAAATGGGAATAATAACAGCACCTACCTCCTAGGGTTGTTGTAAGGATCAAATGAGATAATAATGTAAAGTATTTAACACAATGCCAGAGATACAGCAAGCTTTTCATAAATGTTAGCTATTATTATTATTAGTTCTGAAAAGAAGAATTGTAAAGTATCAACAACCACATAAAAGAATTCTTCAAAATTTTAATAAGAAGAGACCAATCTTGAGGTTTCACTTCATACCTTGCAAATTGTCAAGGACGACAAAAGATGGAAATAGTCAATGATGGAGGGGTTGTGGGAAGATATGTACACTGATGCATTATTAGTGGAGTTCTAAATAGGCAAAACCATTTTGGAAAACAATGTGGAATTATGCTAAGAAAGTGACTTAAAATGTCACCATCTTTTGACCCAGAGATTCCATTACTGGGATTATATACCAAGGAGTCAATTAATAAGAAGGAAGTCCCCATATATGCCAGAATATTTGTGGCAACACTTTGTGTGATAGCAAAGGATTGGGAACAAAGTAGATTCCCACCAATTAGCGAGTGGCTAAACAAATTGTGAATGTAATGGAATATTATTTCCACTCTATAAGAAATGATGTGTGCAATGGAAACAGAAAGGCAAGAGACCTATATGGACTGATGCAGGGTGAAGAAAGCAGAGCCAGGAAAACAACATACACAATGAATAAGACAAAGGAGATGCAAAAAACAATCACATACAAAAATAAATAATGAATGTTGCAAAATGATAAAGAACAAGTGGGACTTGAATGAAGAAATTCCTGGGAAGACGCCTACCCCTTTGTGGAGGTGGGAGGTCCCCAGATGTCACACATCACACATATTTCTGGACTTTTCAATGTATTGACCAGCTGTGCTGATTTTTTCCCTCTTCTTTTTCATTATATTAAAAATACTATTTGTTATATGGGGTGGCTCTTTGGGAGGGGGAGAGATACTATGGGAAAGTATGATGATGTAAGAAACAAGAGAGCAATAACATTTATTCAAAAAAGAAAAATATACCTCCCTTTATTGAAGAGGTAGGTGGTTATGGATGTCAAACATTACATATTCTGTCATACATGGTTGAAATATTAGTTGTTTTTGCTGAAATGCTTCTTCTCTCCCCCCCCCCTTTTGTTAAAGTCTTCTATGAGTGATGGCTCAAAGGGAAGAATATATGTGAGGTAAGTGGTGAGGGCATCAGAGAGCCCCTTAATGAATCCAGTCACCCGGCCCCACTAAACCGTGTTTTCTGGGGCTCAAAGAACTGGCAGGTGTGATTACTATGCTGTTGTTAGGGGTATTTGAAGGATCTTGGAGAGCAGGAGAGAGACAGCAGGACTGGAGAAGAGAAAAAAAGGAAGAGAATGAAACAAATTATAAGGCTTGTGAACTTGACTTCAGTTCCTAGAATATTATAGAGTATATTATTGAGGAAATAGAGTCAGAAACACAAGTGGCCTGCACAAACAGGCAACGCCATTCCAGCAGACCAGTGGTGGAGAACCTGTGGCCTTCAGGCCACATAGGGCCCTCTAGATCCTCAAGTGCAGCCCTTTGACTGAATCCAAACTTCACAGAACAACTGCTTTTAGCCCCCCTAGACCATGATCATTTCCTTTTAGGTCAAAGTCACTAAATTGCTCGGTCAGGAGAAGGCTCTATCTATGGTTTACCTAGGTTTTCAGCCAAGCTCTTCACAAAGAAGCTCTATATGTTTGTGGAAAAGATGGAGAGATTTGGGATAGCAGGTAATACAGTTAGATGAGTTCAGAACTGGTTGAATGGCTAGACCGAAAGAGAAAACCTAATGCCTCCATTGCCTAGCACAGTGCCTGGCATACAGAAGGTGCCTAATAAATGCTTGCTTGAACAAGTAAATAATAATCAATAAATGATTGATTGTACAAAGCCAGGAGGAGTAGCTTACACTCTGGACAACAGGTTCCAACAGCACCTTGCCAGGGCAGACTATCAGACTGGATCTGCTAGGATCAAATTGAGGAGGGATTAATGTAAAGTCACTTAATCTCCGTTTGCCTGAGTGTCCTTATCTGTCAAATGGAGGTAATAATATCACCTACCTCCCAGGGCTGTTGTGAGGAACATAGTAGGCACCATGTAAACATTAGCTATTTAGCTATCTTAAAGTTGGGTTAGAGAAGTCAGCTTCACAAGTATAAGATGTTCAGATGTTTTTCAGTTGTGTCTGACTCTCCATGACCCCATTTGGGGTTTTCTTGGCAGAGATACTGGAGCAGTTTGCCATTTCCTTCTCCAGTTCATTTTACAGAGGAGGAAACTGAGGTGAACAGGGTGAGGTGACTTGCCCAGGGTCACACACCTAGGAAGTGTCTGAGACCTGATTCGAACTCAGATCTTCCTGACTCCAGGCCCAGCTCTTGAGGGAACAGCTCTGGTGCCAGGGCTTGCTGAATCCTTTTCAGGGCTGCTCATCCACTTTTGGTGTCCACCTTCACTCAACCCTCACCCATGGCTCCAAGAAGCTGTAGCATACACGATGGGCACACCTTGGTGAGCTAAACCAGGCTTAGGGTAACCAACAGACCTCAAACCCATCAGCAGGTTAGGGGAATGTCTGCCTCAAGCATGGGGTAGAATGGACGGAGGAGAGCAATGTGTTCCAACAGCCATGAAGATGGTTGAAGTGGGAGGCGTGAGCTTGTCCAACATGGAAGATGCTGAGGTCATCCACTACATCCTGGGCCATCACCGATCATCCTGACTTTTGCCCCACCACTGGGCTTTGATGACTCTAGGGGAAGAGGTGAAGCCAGTGACTGGGCAACTCTGCCTCATTTAAATCCAATTCATGAGCAAGGCAAGAAATGACCCATGATGTCACTGGTCCCCTTTAGAAACGACGGAGAGAAAAAAAAAGAAATGAAATGAAGGAGAACACAACACTTTGTCTGAAAAAGATCTGGGGGTTTTAGTGAACCACAAGCTCAATCGGATAATAATAGCCAATATTTATACAGTACCTACTGTGTGCCTGGTACTATGCTCAGCACTTCACAAATATCATCTCCACTTAACAGATGAGGAAATTGAGGCAAATAGAGGTTAAATGACTTGCCCAGGGTCATACAGCCAGGAAGAGTCTGAGGCTGGATTTGAACTCTCCTGACTCCACCCCCCAGCTCTCTATCTACCATACCCCCAGCTGCCCAATATGGGTTTTCTGTCCTGGTCAGATCACAGCTAGAATATTGTTCTGATAGGGGTGCCATATTTGAATATGGTGGTGGTGGTGGTGGCAATAGCCAGCATTTATTTATTATTATTTAGCTTTTATTTAATCTTTTATTAATTAATTAATTAATAAAATTTTGAAATTATTTTATAATTTTATAATTTGAAAATTATTTAAAATTAATTAATTTTTATTTTTATTTAATTTATTATTATTTAGCTTTAAGATGTACAAATCTGTTACTGTTCATCCTTCATTCTCAAAGAGGACCAACGACATTGCAAGGGTGATGTCTTGACTCCCAGGCGAATTGGATCGAAGTGAGGCAGGGCTGTGCAAAGTCACCAGCCTCACCCTCTTCCAGCAGTGTCGGAGTCCAGTGGCGAGATGTAAGTCAGGACGACTGTAGATGTCCCCAAATGCGGTGGGGAACCTTGGCCTTTGTAAGCTAAAGTCTTTCCTTTGGAACTGGGTGAAGAGCCTGGAGTCCGGGACCTTAGACGGTCAATGAAAGGGCATAGACATGTTTAATCTGGAGAAGAGAAGGCAGACTGGGGCAAATACTCCAAAGACAATACAGTGGAAGAGGATTAGATTCGCTTTGCCAGGAAGGCTGGGTGGAAGTTCCTAAGAAGCCAGTTTAGAGCTGACGTAAAGGAAAATAAAGCAAACTTTTTTTTTTGGACTAGACTTGTGCTTTCACTGTTAAAGAGCTCTCCTGGTGAAGAATTTCTCTGCATCATTGATGTGCAGGTTGACACTTGCTCAGGAACTTGGGGAGAGAGAGTTGCCCAGCAATGTGGGACGTCCCAGAGAAGAGTGGGCTGCCTTGACGTTCCCAGTCATATCAGGTCTGCGAGCAGAGACTGGATAATCACAGTTTGACTCTCCGTGACCCCATCTGGGGTTTTCTTGGCAGAGATACTGGAGTGGTTTGCCGTTTCCTTCTCCAGCTCATTTTACAGATGAGGAAACTGAGGCTCAGAGCTATGAAGCAGCTCACCCAGGGAGTAAGTAGCAGAGTCAGGACTAAACCTTGCTTTTGAAGGACTTTTTTTTTTAATTTTTTTTTCCATATGCTTTTGAGTTGAAAATTTTTTCTCCCTTCCCCCCCCCAAGACGGCACACAATCTGACATAGGCTTTACATTTATATACCCATTAAACATATTTTCACATTAGTGAAGTTGTAAGTAAAAATTAAAACCAATAGGAGGAACCATCAGAAAGATGAAACAAAACTCAACTGAAGGTAAAAATAAGTGAGAGCGATTCGACTTCCATAGTTCTTTCTTTGGATGTGGACAGCATTTTCCATCCTGAGGCCTCTGGAGATGTCTTAGATCCTCGTAATGCTGAGAAGCCTTGCTTTTGAAAATGGCACATACACCACGTCATTGGAGGAAGAGGAAGGAAGGACTTGCAGAGGAAGAAGGCAGAGAGAAGCCTGACTCTCATGTCCAGGAAGAGTCCCCGCCTTTCCTGGATGCTGGGGAGGCCCAGGACAGGGTCCCCTCCCCTTGATGGGCTCTGACAAGCAGTTGGAAGCCTCCATCTCCCTTTCCAGCCTCTGCTCAGGCTTTGCCCCTCTACTTATTCCCTCCTAAGCCCCTAGGTTCCTGGTTTTTCCTGCAACTGCAGTCACCCCTGCTCAGATGCACCCTTCTCTAGGAGCGGGAAGAGCAAAGCTCAGCAGGAAGAGCCCAGCTGATAAGGGTTGGGGTACCTGGCCAAGGGCCCTGGCTTCTGAGAACAGCTTCCTGTGTTCACGGGAGCAATGATGCTAGTGGCCACACTCTGGTAAACACAACCCAAGGCAGCAGAAAGAAGGAGCCCTGGGGGACAGGTTAAAGAGGAAGAGACTGATACCCCCTACCCCCTCTTTTTTTTGGCTTCTAAAAAAAGTATTGGGAAATTATAAGGCTTCCTTGCAGGGAAGGCAGGCCAGAGAAGGGTTGGTATCCTGTGGTGAACAAACCGTCTTGGTCCTTCCCATAGCCCCTGGCTTTCTTGGACTGATGTCAGGGAATCAGTTCTACTCCCATTACTTCTTGGGCAGAAATTAAATTCCCCTGCCTGCCCCCTGCCTGCCCCCCACCTCCATCCCCACCCCCACCATCCAGATGACTCACAGATAATCAGTAGTCAAAGGTGGGTAGGCTATCTTCTCCAAACACAGAAAGGGGTCAGGAGAGAGTTGTATTTGTCCCCATGAGACAGATAGGAACATTGACAGCCCACATGGGACCATCTCTGCTCCTCAGCACTTTCCCCTTGTAAAGGCATGGGACATGAGCAATGAGTATATATGAGGGTGGGGGCCTTAATTCTAAAACCTTAGCTTGCTGAGCATGGGTCCTTGGAGGTCAGAAGAGATGGAGTCGTGGTTAGCATTTGCTGTGCCTGGGCCTAGTTGTGGAGGGGTGTAGGTGGGAATTGAGAGAGACCACAGGAGGAGCTCATCTATGAGAAGAGAGTCCACCTGGTAATCTCCTATTTTAACTAATTCTTGCTAACTAGAGGCTAAATTCTGATTCTCCTTCTGAAGGACTGTGAATGAATCCAGCACCTGGGTGCAAAGCCCCCATTACCTCACCTTAGTTACAGTTCTGATCAGAAGCAGCCCTGCCCCTTCCCAGGATGCTCTCTTAGGAATGTCTCTAGTAGCTTCCAGTCCAGGAATTTCCCTTACCCTATGTGGCTTCTCCTTTACCAAATCCCATCTAGGTGGCCTGAGGGACTCTTCTTGCCTCAAGAGAATTCACTGGTTCTCTCATGCCCCCCAGGATAAATGCCTCTAGGCCCAGCCTAATGTTCTGGCTTTATTTCACATTTATTCCTATTCACACACTCTATGATGTGGTCAAACAAGGCCACCCGAGGTCTGGGTCCTCATCAGCTGTGACATCACAGGATGTGTGAGTCCCTTCGGTCCATTGGGACAGATGCTAGGAACTGGGCCAATGTACTGGCAGCAGCACCTCACCCCTTATTTACAGAACTAGCCTTCTTGGGTGTTACCAGGCCCTGGAGTGGAGGCCCTTCCTCAGAGCCCTAGATGTCGGGCCCCCTGGCCTCCTGTTCCTTCCCCAGAGTCTCTGTATGAGAAATGTCCAGCTATATGAGCAGAAGGTAGAGTGAAGCTGGGGATGGGGTAAGAGAGAGAGGGGCTCTGTCTGGAGGGGGGAACTGCCTGGCTGCCTCCTAAATCCTCTTCAGCTTCTTGGGAATAATCGGTGGCTGGCTGGGCATGGAAGGCAGCTGCATGCCAGGCTGGAAGAGATGGAAATTGGTCAGTTCCCAAGGCCAGGTCTGCCTCTCCTAAGCTTGGACAGTACCTAAGCCTAGGCCTGATCTGAGGCCATCACTCAGCTCCTACTAAGCATTCCTTGTTCCCTAATGGGCCATACCTACCCCTCATACCCAATAAATCTGACCTCAGACACTAACTAGTTGTGTGACCCTGGGCAAGTCACTTCACCCTGTTTGCCTCAGTTTCCTCATTTGTAAAATGAACTGGAGAAGGAAATGGCCAACCACTCCAGTATCTCTGCCAAAAGAACCCCAAATGGGGGTACAAAGAATTGGGCTTGACTGAAATGACTCAAGCACAGTACCCAATAAAACAAAATCAGACCATGAGTTTCGGAGGATCGGACCCAGCTTTCCTGCTCTGTGGCACTCACAAGCTGTAAGCCTGAGGGAAGGGCCCAGGTCTGCCCCTACTCTGTCTCCCTCAGACTGTAAACTCCTGAGGGTTTAGCTCTGTGCTCTTCTCCCAGACCCTTTCCCATCCCAAATCCTCCTTCCCTTCCTCATCTACCATGTCCCGGCTTGAAGGTCAGGGGCAAGACCTTGTCTCCACGCAGGGATGGAGAAGGAGAGATTGATATGGCTATCCAGGAGCTAAGAGCCAATGGGATAACCTCCTCTTCCCATACCTTCTGCAGGTAGAACAGACACATTTCATAGTCCTCTGCCTCTGAGCAGGTCACCAGGATTGGTTCCATCACATTGCCTAAGGAACAGAGTGGGGAGAGTGGGGCAGTATCAGGTGGATTCTGAGTGGGCTGAAGGCTGGGAAGACAGTGCTGTTCCTAGGACACCCCATGCCCACTCTCTATGTCCCCTGTACCTGTCATTTCAAACTCCAGTCTCCCGAGAATGGCTGACTTCTCCTGAGCCCGGATTCCTGCCCGAGGAAGCTTTCCCTGCAGAGAGGAACAAGGACATGTTTGTTTCCTGGCTCTCATCTGAGGGCAGCCTGGTACAGGAGACAGAGCACTGGATTTAGAGTCAGGGAGACCTGGGTTCAAAATCTACTTCTGACATACACTAGATGTGTGACCCTGGGTAAGTCATTTATCTCTGAGCTTCAGCTTCCTCTTCGATAGAATAGGGATAATCACAGTGCCTTGGTACAGGACCTGGCCCCCAGGGTTGTGAGGATCAAATGAAATGATGTCTTTAAAGTGCTTTGCAAACCTTACAATGACGTAGAAATAGGAGCTGTGATTATTATCTGCAGGGCCTGGTCCCCAACCCTGCCCATACACACCTTCCTCACTTCTGGGAATCACCTCCCCTCTGCTCTAGGCCAACCCATGACCACCATGGGTTCCTTCAAAAACCACCTTCGCTCCTCCAAGAAGCCTGCCGTGATTCTTCCTGCCCGCATTCATGGCTTCCTCCGGAGGCCTGACAGCATTTACTCTTGTGGCCTTTTGTACGCATCCCCTTTCCCCCAAAGGTCCCAGAAAGAATCATCTGATGGCTCCCCCAACCCCCGTAGTCGGCTTCCTGAGGGCACGGCCGAGACCTCTCTCTTCCTTCTCCTCCCAGACTGCGAGGTCTCTGGGTCAGGTTCTGCTCCTCTCTCACCTCCTTCCAGGACTGTCAGGGCCCACCCCTGTCCTTGACTCCTTCCTCCAACCTAGCCAAGGTCAAGGATGGCCTGACAAGGGGGTCAGGGGGCCAGAGAAAGCCTTACTTGCTAGTCCCTTGTTCTTTCCTCAGTTTGGTATCCCTCCAATGACCTCCCCCTGTGGGCATTAGGAAAACCCTGATCCCTGGGGCTTCTAGGGGCCAGGGGTGGACCTCTACCTGGTAGATGAGGCCAGAGCCTCCAGGGCTCAGAGACAAGAACACCAGGTCCTCGGCAAACAGAAGCAGGAGGCGATCTTGGAACTCCTATAGAAAGGACAGTGTGACAGGCCTGCAGCCCAGGCCCCCGAGCCAGAGAACCTGGCTCTGCCCTCAGTTCCCACACCGACTCCCTGTGTGGGTGGCTCTGGGCAGGTCACCGTCCTCTTGTCACCTATGTAATGGGGGTCACAATACCCAGTAATCCTCCCCTTCCATGACTGTTCTGAGAAAAAGACTTTGTAAGCTGTAACCATGCTATTTGTGGTTATCACTGTTGTTGTTTTTAATAGATAAGGGAGGGCATGCAGTGAAAAAAAATATTTTTTTAAAGTAAAAATCAGTTCTGTGACATCATTGGTAATAGAGGCTGGGAGGTAGGGAAGTACCCAGAAGGAACATTTGGAGGAGTTCTCAATAGACAATGTGGTCCCTTTGACTCAAGTCCTCCTTCCTTGCCAGACCCCCAATCCTGCCCAGTAGGATACTCACACTGGACCCTGCATAGGCCACCTGGATGGGCACCAGAGCTTGTACTGGTCCCAGGTGCTGAATGGGCTTTCCCTCCCATTGCTGGATAGGAGAGCAGAGAAGGAGACTTCGGAGCTCCTGCCTCTTCCAGGGTTCATCACAGGGAACCTGCAGGACCCAGATCAGAGTGTCTGGAGAGCCCATCTCTCTTCTTTTCCCCATAGCCCAATTCAGCCCAGTCTGGGACACAAGGGCCAAGGACCCAGGATGCAGCCACCAGGCTCTGCCCCTCCAGCCAAGCCTAGCCTGGGAACTGGGGTGGAAGACCTCACCCCTGGTCCAGC